CTGAACAAATTGGGTTTTCATTGCTACAATATCGATGACAATTACACTGAATGAACCTATCGAGATATTCAATTTTATGTTTATTATTGTGCAGAAGCTCATGTAAAGCAACAATTGATGATAAAAAATGGAAAACATGCTCATATATTTACACATACAGGCACACATAGTACATGCTTACATATGTGCTCGTGTACATTAATGTGTAAAATTGTTCAAAATATACTTTTTAACTTTGCATTGTGAATAGATATCAATGTTGTCGCAAATTCCGGTAAAAAAAATATCTTTTAAGAATGTTGAAGAAACTGATAAACAGAAAAACCAAGAAGACCAGTAAAGAAAGGATCATAAATGGATTATATCAACTATTAACTTTTTGAATGCGTTTCATGATTTTAGAGCAGTTAAAATTTGAAAACAGAGGAAGGTACATCCAAACCACAGTATGGTGTCGGGTATAAAAAAGGCAATCGGTTCCGGAATAAATTTACTCGTATATACAGTACAAGAATTGAATCGTCTCCTTTTCCGTGAGAACTTTTTGAGCAATATGGTATATTAAGGACATTTCGATGTCAGAAAATCGAATCAGAAGAATGCAATTTCATGAAAAAATGCTTACCATAGCCTTTCATCTCCAAAAAAATCCAAATACCACATTTTCGGTTGACAGTGTAAAAATAACTCATTTTTTTGTGATTGGGCGCCAAATTGTCCCACAATATATCATTTTAGTAGGATTGTAATAAAGTGAAATCTATATAAAGCACAGATGAAATGAGATTTTTTCCAACAAGTTTGAACGTATCATATAGTTTAAGCATAGTTTAAGTTAGTTGGAATTCAAAAAAGTGGTTTTTATACCCACCACCATGGAAATAATGGTATTTTCAATTTGTCATTCCGTTTGTATCACCTCGAAATATACATATTAGACCCCATAAAGTACATGCATTCTTCATCACCATAAAAAATTATGTCGATTAAGCCATGTCTGTCAGTCTGCGGAAATTACTTTAGCTTCCGAATAAAAAAAAAAAATTGATAACATTTTACTCAGAGGTGTATTTGGTCTGCAGCAAATTTGGAATTTAAAAAAGAGGCTATATAGGTCCACCTTTTTGGCTTAGGTCCCATATAACTAACGCGCAAGATTAAAGGTTTTTTGGGTGTTTTAGTCATAATTTCAAACCGAATTTGCTGTTAATTGGAAGTTTATTTTTGCCAGTATGTAGGAAACATACTTGCGAAGCACCGAACATATAGGTCCAAGTTTTGGTATAGACCCCATATAACGGTACCATTGGATATTTGATATTTTGATCATTTGTGTCACCAGAATTGTTTCAAATTTGGTATTTAAAGTTTGTAATGGTTACTACAGGGTGAGAAGAAAACTGCAACAAAGTCAAACGCCATAATTTTTACAATTTTTTCTTAAATTTTATTGAATAAAAGCAAACAAATAAAAAAGCAGCTAAGATACCCTCCACCATTTGGAAGGAACTTGAAAATTTTTTTAAACTACCACTTAAGTGAAAATTGTTACATGTAGACTATACGAAGACGTGAACCTGCTTACGAAATTTTAAATTTAATTTAAACAATTCTGGCGAATAATGTCACTAAAATCATCGTTATAAATGCGAAATATGTTACAATTCCGGTGAATAATGTCGCATAAAAATGCCGAGTATTGGGAGGTACCGTTATATGGGCAAGACGAAGACGTGGACTTGCATACAAAAATTTTTGTCATAGGCTGTTGTACCCATTACGAATATTAAATATGAAAATTGAAATAATTCCGGTAAATAATGTCGCTAAAATTATGGAAATACTGAATGTCGGAAGGTACCGTTATATGGGGGGTTATACGGAAACGTGGACCGACATGGCCCATTTAGAACTTAACCTGCCTACTGGTACACTATGCATTTATGCAAAATTTTAGCCTTCTATCTCAATTCGTTTGAAACATAGCATGATTACAACAGACAGACGAACATCGCTAGATCTTCTTGAAATTTTACGCTGATACGGAATATATATACTTTGTAGGGTCTATTATTAATATTTCGAGGAGTTACAAACGGAATGACAAAGTTAATATACCCTTCATAGAATGATGAAGGATATATAAACAGCAACAAAGTCGAACGCCATAATTTTTATTTTTTTTTTTTTTTTTTAGTTTTATTGAATTAATGCAAAAAATGTCGGAAATACCATCAAATTTTATAGTAAGTTTGTTCGAATTGTTCACCTTTGGCACGAATTATGACCTTCAGATGGCCAATGAAAGCGTCACACGCTGCCCGAATGTTGCTCTGCGGAATTTTGGGGTGATCGACACTTTGGTATTTTTTAATGTCAACCTTGCTTTCCAAAATACTCCAGACACAATAGTCCATCGGATTGGTATCCGGAGATTTTGGTGGCCATTGTGCGCCGGAAATGAAGCGAGGAACGTCATTTTGTAAACATTCTTGGTTGGTGCGTGCTGAGTGCGATGGTGCTGTCCTGTTGGAATGTCCAAGACTTTAAGGCATTAATACACCCTTTAGAATATTTTCGCGATAATATTCGGCATTTATTCTGATGTCACGGTCGATTAATACCAGCAGAGAGCGACTATCGGCTGTTATGGCGGCCCACACCATTAACAAGGCCGGCGCTTGAGTTCTGGTGGCGAACCGAAAGTGCAGCTGACCTCTTTGGCAAGTAAACACGATCATTTTGTTTGTTTACAAACTGCTGAACAACGAATGTTTTCTCATCGGAGAAAACCAAATTCGGCAGTTCACCACTATCGGTCAAGCGAAGTAACTCTTTAGCTCTTTTAATTCTATTTTCTTTTTGATGCGGTGTAAGTTATTGCACTTTTTGGAATTTCAATGGCTTTACCCATAGCTCGTTTTTCAATATTTGCCGAATGGAATATTGCGATATGTTCAGCTCACGGACCATTTTTCGGCCACTGCTACACAGGTTTCGATCAAGTCGCTTCTTTACTTCCAGTATCACGGTAACGAGCAATGGTGCGAGACACAACAGATTCATTCTCATTTAAATGCTGTAGTGCTCTAACGATAGCCACTTGTGGTTTTTCAGCCAAATATGAATAAATCACACTATCACGCTTGAATTCCATCACGAATAATTTTTTTTTCTGGAAAATTCTCACCAAAGTGCATTTGTACGCTTGTAAAACATATAATGAGCTGTCACTGGAATAGTTTTTACAGCTGTCGGACAAGTGGCATAGAAATGCCTTGAGTCTGAAATTGGTTGCAGTTTCTTCATCTCAGCCTGTACAATCCAATAGAAATCTTATTTCCCAATTTCATAGTCTCAACTCTATTTGTTCTCCAAAAAAATTTATATTGTACCAAATTTTAGTACACATAAATACGAATTTCCAAAACTACCTACACTCCTCAGTGCTGGAATACAATAGTGATCTTATAGCTGCATTTCAGAATTCCAGCACCATCGGTTCGCCGAAATCAAAATTGTACTATTTTAGTACCATTTTGTAATATTCGCGCATATAAGTACGCATTTCGAAAACTTCCAGTAATGTTGCTTTAAAATTTCAGAATTCCAGTTCTCTTATCCGTTCCTCCAAATTCAAATTATACGAATTTTAGTGTCGTTTAGTACTTTTCTCTTGTTTTTAGCTTTAATAGTTCATATGATACGAAATGGTACCAAATATAGTACATTTTAGTACTTTTCGCACACACATAGTGCGAATTTCGAAAAACCTAAAAATTCAAGTTTTTACCAAATTTAGTGCCATTTAGTACTTTTCCCATGTTGTTAGCTCATACAATTCACATGATTCGAAATGGTACAAAATGTAATACTTTTCGTACACTTATAGAACGAATTTCCAAAAACTCTTTGGTACAGTTATCATACACTTGACCCTTTGTATTTTGTTCCTCAAATACAAAGCATACCATATTTTTTTTGTTCTGTTCGCACCGTTCTAGTAGGAATATCCAAAAACAAAGCCTCTTCGGATACCATTGAACCACGTGTGACCCCTGGCCAAAATTTCAAGATTCGTCTGGGTGTTGATGAATCGTTGAGTTAGTCAGTCAATTACTCTACTCTTTTTTATACCCTCCACCATAGTATGGAATTTGTCATTTCGTTTGTAACAACTCGAAATACACATTTTAGACCCCACAAAATATATATATCCTTGACCAGAATAAAATTCCGTTCCATCTATCCGTCTGTGGCAATCACTCTAGCTTCCGAACGAATTGAACTAGGTTGATGAAATTTTACTCAGATTTGTCTTTGATCTGTATAGGTCCACGTTTAGGTATAGCCCCCATATAACCCTACCTCCCTATATTCAATAATTTGACGATTTTAGGTGCAATATTAACCGGAATTGTTTCAAATCTCGTATTTGCAGTTCGTAACGGGTATTACAGCCTGTGACAGAAAATTGCTTACGCAGGTCCAGGTCTTCGTATAGCCCCCATATAACTGTACCTCTTTCAGCGATATTATTCACCGGAATTGTTTCACATTTTTTCACTACTAACCTATGGCAGAGAATTTTCTATGCAGGTCCACATCTTCATATGGGCTCCAAAATAACTGTAACTCCCTGTATTCGGTATTTTTAAGATCCTAACGGATTTTATTTTTGTTTTTGTTTTTTGAAAATATCCAAATTTGTTCCAAATGGTGGGAGGTATTCAAATTTCGGCCCGACCAAACTTATTGCTTTTTATCTTCTCTTATTATCATTACATGGTAATGAGAAAATAAAGTTATTTTACCTTGTAAAATAATCCTGTAATACATCTATATTAAGATGAGAATGATGTTTTGTAAGTAGTTACTCGTGACAAATTGTACTTAACAAACCCCTTATTTGGTAATGAGGTTTTTTGTGTGTAATGTTAACTAAAATTAAGTTATTCGAAAGCTTATTTTCCTAATAAAAACCCTATTTTTATTTTCAGGATTGAAATTGACGATCAAATTGCCAAACCCCTTAACTTGGCTAACTCTGCCGTCTTACGCGCTGTAGAGGAAGAGGAGCAGGAAATGAAATGCGGTAAGTCTATTTTTATTTGTGATCTATGGTTAAGTAAATATTTTCAATTTTATCCTCGGCAGTAAAATTCCCTAATTTTATTGGTTAATAACTTGAGGTTCCCAGTGTTTTGTGTTCCCTACCGATAGGGCGTATTGAATTATATTTTGTGGCATTTTATTGTGATTTAACAAAATGTGTTAAAATACCTTACCAATAGCTAACTCATACCCACTTAAAGTCTTGTTTAAAATGTGTATGTGTGTATATATATATGAAGTAGTGTCCTTAAGAAACACTGAATCGATATTATTCAGTTTCTCCGAGCCATTATTTTATCTAACATGGCGTGAAATATATATTTTGCTGGTTACGACACTTTCGCTAAGTGAAATATTATATTCCAAAAAGCTCTTAACACCAAAGGTATTTTATAACTGCGGTTCGGGATGCCACCGCGACAATTTTAATTCTGGTGGCAACATTCACAATTCTACATCTGAATTTCGACTTCTGACCTTACATAATCCTTGTCATGGAATCTAAATGCTATCAATATTCTAAAGTGCACTCAAGCTATTATCGTTGACAATCACTTTTTTTGTATTTCTTTGACTTTAGTTTGCAGCAGCCAACCCACATTAGCCAGCTTGTGGTAAAAGTTTTTCAATAAATTCTCGATTAAATGGAACTTAAAAATTTCCCAATAAATATGTACAGTCCTTTGTTGAATAGACGAATCAAGTTTTCATTAAAGGATCGATACAATAAATTCTACAAAGTTTTTTCTTTCTTATTCTTCTTCTTCTTCCACTTTGTCATGTACATACAAATGATGCTGCACATGTATTTACATACATTCTTTCATTTTATTTATTATTTTTTTTTTTTTCATTTTTTTAGGAAAACCACATTCAATAGTAGAAAGCAAAGCAATTAGAAAATTATTTAAGGGCTCAGTTGTAGTTCTATGCAAAAAATTAAAAGATAAAGAAAATGAAATATCAAATTACCATTTTTGTGGAGAAAAATATATTTTTTTATTATTTCATAGAAAAATAATTCAGGTGGAGATTTTTTAATTAAGTTATAAATTAGCTTAATTGATATGCAGTAAGAGGAAAATAATTTTAAAATATATGAATTCTTGCAAGCATATCAAAGTTCAATGCATCGCACATGGAGGGGGTCGATACCCAGTAATTTGAGACCCACATAAGCCGAATGACCCATTACGAAGATAAAGAAATTATTTTCAAAATGCCAAGAAGTGAGTAACGGCTGAATAAAGTGTAAGCCTTAACAACCGATGGTTGTGACTTCGAAAATTGGAGTTGGCAAGGGAACACGATGAGTTGTTGATGCAGATGTAAGATATAAAGCCCTGGCACCGAAATGACTCGCAAATATTTTTTAGGACACCGAATATAAGGTTTTATACCCTACACCACATCGTGGTAAGGGTATCATTGTTCATTTGTTTGTTACATGGAGAAGGAAGCGAGATAAATCCATAGTTATTTTTGAGAATCTTCACAGAACTTTTTTGCATGTCAGTCTCTCCGTCCGTCCGTATGTCAATGTATTTTTGTGAACAGAACGCAGATCGCATTTATTATCCGATACAGATGAAATTTTCCAAATTTTCCCAAGCACGAACCCTACTGAAATTTGTGAGAGTAGGTTAAAATTTAGATATAGCTCCAATATATATCTTCAACCAATTCGGGTTAATTGTGGACTAGATGGCCAATATCAGTCCAAATGACCTGTATTTTGGCAAATCCGACCGCATTCAGTCTAGAAGTAAGTACATCAAATTTGGTGAAAATCGGTTCAGATATTGCTATAGCTCCCACATACATATTTCATCCGATTTGGTGTTTAAGTCTCTCACATTCGTAATATCGGCTTAATATCGGCTCAGATTTGAATGTAGCTCCGATATGTAGTGTAATGTAGTTGATCTGGCGGGGCGCATGATAACTCTCGAAGGGAGTTTCCGATTTGGTCCACTGTTGGGACATCGTAATATTATTATCAAACTTAGATCCAGTTCGCGGATGGGCAAAATCGGTTCACTCCTTCTGGTACCTCCCTATATTTTACTGCACAGAAAGAGACAGGATAATCTGATTTTGCTCCTACCTTGCAAATCGTAATATATGCATAAGTGCTAGTTCAAGTGCGAAAATAGACAATATCAGTCCACTACATCAAGTATCTCCCCCCCAAAGGGTCAAAATTTTGAGCAATTATAACTCTTAAAAAATGTGATGTAAGAGACAAATTACACACATCTATACTCTCCACCATTGAATAAAGACAATTTTTTTATGAAAAAATATCTGGATATAAACATTTTCCAATTTAATCTACAAACTCCAGTAAGATCGGTGGGAGAATGGTTGGAGCCATTATACGGCGGCCATACTAAAACCCATTATGAAGTACAAATAGCAAATTTCACACAAATCTATTAGAAAATATGGCTTAAATCGTCAAAATGCCAATATCCGATGGAACCGTTATATGAGCGCTATAAAAAACGTAGACCTAATTATTCAATGTTCTGCGACCGCAGATAGAACCTATTACGAGCTACCAATACCAATTTTTATACGAATCCATAGAAAATTGTGGGAAAAATCATCAAAATACCGAATATCTGGAGGTACCGGTATACGGGGGCTATACGGAAACGTGCACCTATATGTACAATGTTCCTCCATCGGAGATGGGTTCTAGCTCTACAAATAACTGCGAACTACAAAGAACTTTTTTATTTATTCTTTGAAAAATGTGGTAAAAATCATACCGAATATCGGGAGGAACCCTTATATGGTGGCTATACGAAAACGTGGAACTATGTATTCCGCCACCGGAGCAAGAACTATAAATACCAATTTTTAGACAAATCCCTGAAAAAAATGTGGCTAAAACCAACAAAATACCGAATATCAGGAGGTACCGTTATATGGGGGCTATAAGAAAACGGGGACATACATGTACAATGTTCCGCTGCTGGAGCTAGAACCCATAACGAACTACAACTACCAACTACCGGACATCGTTAAAATTTTATGCTGATTATGAATGTATATTTTATGGGGTCTATGGCGGAAATTTAGGGGTGTTACAAACGGAATAACAAGTTAATATACTCTCGTTTCCAAGGTGGAGGGTATAAAAATGTGGTGGAAGGAAAATGTAAACTTTCCAAACGCCATTATATATACATTTATTTTATTTCTAGCTCTTCTTCCATAACCTGCTCGATTTTTCTGGTGATCATTGAAAAAAAATTATTTTGTAGCACAGTCTTATTACTTTTTTATAAACTATTTTTGAGTCCAATAGAATAATATTGATAGAATATTTTTGTTTTTGAAATCTTGAAAAAAAATGGATTTAGTTTTTGGAGGTATCGAAATAGAACAGCATATGTTGTGTGAGCACGGTATTTTTCAAGCTTTATATCAATTTTTTATAAACTTAGGAGCTCAAATTTTGATTCTGAAAACAGAAAGTCTTCAATAATGCAAAAAATGCGATTTATTCGTTCTTATACTTCAAAAAATCTGCTGGGAAAGGAAACTTCGCAGCTAAATCAAAAAAATCCCTTTTTAGTGTTTGCGAATTTAAATACTTCAAATGAAAAGACATGTTTTTAGCATTGTAACCCTAAAATGTATTAAATTTTAAATGTATGCATCTATGCATGAACGTTGTTCTAGTTCTTATCTACCGAACATCAAACCTACCAAAGTAGCATTTTGGAAGTGTCAAACCTGTCATAAAGTTGGTAGAAAAACTATTTTCTTTTTTTTTAGTTTGTTTGTTGTCCAATGATTTTAGATTTTACCTACCGAACAACTTTTGGCAACACTATGATGGTGAGACAAGTTCTGTAAGACGTCGTTTTGTTCTGTTTTGTTTCTATTGTTGTATGTCATACCAAAATTATGCTGCAAGCCAAAGTGTGGTCTCAATGACGTAGTTTTCATAGTAACAAGTTAGAAAGTATCAGCCGTGTGGCAGACAGTTATAAACCCTTAGCATATGGTTTGGCCTTCGTTTTACTTAAAAGACGAGATGCAAAATTTGGGATTTTCAAAAAAAGTCGGCGTTCATATAAATCCCATCTTCACATTCGATATAATCTGGGCAGAAATATTTAACTTCATTCGGGCGGTATATGGCATATTTACTCTGGATCTAGTGTTGGTATTGGAATGTAAAAAGTTTGCGGAAGATCGGATTCGTTTTTCCTCATTTATTAAGAGTGGAGATTACACTAAGGGACAAAATTGCTGGAAACCCCCAGTAGATTATGAAAGTGAAGCTAAACAAGTAAAAAAGCTAAGAGTTCGGCCGGGCCGTAATTTGATTGCCCTCCACCAATTGCAACGAATTTGGCAATTATCAAAAAAATAAAATCAGTTAAAAATTCTGTTAAAATCTTAAAAATGCCGAATATAGCTGTTATATCAGGGTCTATACGACGACATGAACCTGCATAGACTACTTTTGTCGTAAGCCATTACAATATTCAAATGCGAAACTTGAATAAAAAATAGGTGAATAATGTAGCTAAAATCACCAAAATGCCGAATATAGGGATAAATTTTAACAGAGATGTCACATCGCTTAATGACATACCGCGTTTGAAGCGTCAGTCTAAAAGATTTTTACCATGAATCAATACATGCCACGCGAGCGCTCTGAAATAGTTGAAATTTACATTCAACAGAAGAAGTCAATTGTGAAAACTCAACGTGCTTTTAAAAAATGTGAGAAGTGCGCCTTCTAAGAACACCATTAAGCGTTTATACGAAACACTTACGAGCCAGTGTTGAGAGGTCCCCAAGAACATCCCAAAAACGCCGTTCTCAGCAGTTGGGCATGGCTCGGCCCACTTTACAACGGATTATTGACATTGATTTGCATTTGTTCCCGTACATAATTCAATTGACGCAAAGAATGTTTCCTGCGGACAAGCCTCGTCGATTGGAATGGGC